AATCTTCGTTCATTATTAATTAAGTCTTTGTTCATGCTTTATTAAGGCTAAGTAAGGTGTAGTTATTATAAAGTGTTACCGATCGGGGTTTTGATTCCTCGTCGCTCCACGTACAAAATGTTCTCTGTGAACTCGGGAAAGTCCACCAGGGGGCAGCAGACAAGAGTTTCATTGTAAACAAAAGGTTTTTCAGGATAAATCTTGATGTTCGGGGCAGAACTCTCAGAATGTCGTGTATCTAAATAAATATGATACAAAGGGCGTTTTAGGGCTGATTTAATTTTAATTTTATTTTATTTTTTTCAGGGAGCTGAAGGTTCAGGAGATTTGTCGCTCTCAACAGAAAGTCTACAGCTCCTTTAACGACGAGCTCCAGGATTATATCAAAGTCCAGCAGGTCCGAGGGCTGCGTCCAAAACCTGCTCTCGGCAACAAGGACGCGAGCAAGGACACGAAGAAGGACGCAGAGCAAGGACACGAACAAGGACGCGAGTGAGGATCCTTCAGACGTTCTCCAGGACCACGTCTGGACTCGAGGGGGGCGTCCAAAACCTGCTCCAAGGGAAACGAACGAGGATCCTTACGAGGACGCGGAGGAGGACGCGTACTTCTACCCTCCTCCTCCTCCTCTTCCTCCCTCGCTGCTGTACCCCGTGCGTCCTGCGTGGGGCGCTCCAGGCCGCGACTACGCTCCTCCTCCTCCTCCTCTTCTTCCTCTTCTTCCTCCTCACGCCGACAGACCGAGGAAGAGGAGGCACGAGAAGGAGACGAGCTCGGAGTCCATGAGCGAAAGTTCCGAGACGAGTGAGAGCGACGAGGAGAGGGAGAAGAGGAGGAGGAAGGAGAGGAGGAAAGGATACAAGGAGAGGAGGGAAGGACGCGAGGAGAGGAGGCACAGGAAGAAAAGGAGAGAGAGAGAAAACAAGAGCAAAAGACTCAAAAACCAAGAAGAAGAGGAGAGAGAGAGAGGAGAGAGAGAGAGAGAGAGAGAGAGAGAGAGGAGGAGAGAAGAGAGGAGGAGGAGAGCGAGGTCCAGCAGGAGGCGCAACAGCACGACTCCGGGAAACAGAGGACGAAGAGAGAGAAGAAGAAGAAAGAGGAGGACACGAGGACAGAAGAAGAAAAACTCTGGGACGACTCGATTTTAGGATTTTAAAGACTAAACCAGGACTAAACCGGGACTAAACCAGGAAACCAGGACTAAACCAGAAACCAGGACTAAACCAGACTAAACCAGACTAAACCAGGTCTAAACCAGGACTAAACCAGGTCTAAACCAGGACTAAACCAGGACTAAACCAGGTCTAAACCAGGACTAAACCAGGACTAAACCAGGTCTAAACCAGGACTAACCAGGTCTAAACCAGGACTAAACCAGGTCTAAACCAGGACTAAACCAGGTCTAAACCAGGACTAAACCAGGACTAAACCAGTCTAAACCAGACTAAACCAGGACTAAACCAGGACTAAACCAGGACTAAACCAGGACTAAACCAGGTCTAAACCAGGTCTAAACCAGGTCTAAACCAGGACTAAACCAGGACTAAACCAGGACTAAACCAGGACTAAACCAGGACTAAACCAGGTCTAAACCAGGACTAAACCAGGACTAAACCAGGACTTAAACCAGGACTAAACCAGGACTAAACCAGGTCTAAACCAGGTCTAAACCAGGACTAAACCAGGACTAAACCAGGTCTAAACCAGGACTAAACCAGGTCTAAACCAGGACTAAACCAGGACTAAACCAGGACTAAACCAGGACTAAACCAGGACTAAACCAGGTCTAAACCAGGACAGGTCTAAACCAGGACTAAACCAGGACTAAACCAGGACTAAACCAGGACTAAACCAGGTCTAAACCAGGACTAAACCAGGACTAAACCAGGACTAAACCAGGACTACTAAACCAGGACTAAACCAGGTCTAAACCAGGACTAAACCAGGACTAAACCAGGACTAAACCAGGACTAAACCAGGTCTAAACCAGGACTAAACCAGGAACTAAACCAGGACTAAACCAGGACTAAACCAGGTCTAAAACCAGGACTAAACCAGGACTAAACCAGGACTAAACCAGGACTAAACCAGGACTAAACCAGGTCTAAACCAGGACTAAACCAGGACTAAACCAGGACTAAACCAGGACTAAACCAGGACTAAACCAGGTCTAAACCAGGACTAAACCAGAACTAAACCAGGTCTAAACCTTGTCCCGTTTAAAATCCACAGGATTCTGCAGTATTGTTGTTCTTTTTGAGTTTGACTCTAATTAAACTCATTTGCACATGATTTATAAAACTCTATTTTAATATATTGAATTTTCTGTGACTAAATAATAAAAACTCTATTATAATTAGAATCAATTGATTCTAATTTCTAAGTTTGTAAATAAAATAAAATTTCCTTTATGAGCCATGATTCTTGATTCTTCTTCTCTGGGGTCTCGGGTCTCGGGGTCTCAGGTCTCGGGGTCTCAGGTCTCGGGGTCTCAGGTCTCGTCAGTCTGAGCAGAGACTCCCAGACTTCCTTCACCCCAGACACTTCCTCCAGGGGACTCTGAGATGTTCCCAGTCCAGACACAGAGTCCGTCGAGCAGCGGCTCTACCCTGAGCTCCTCACTGTGTCAGACGCCCGGACGTCCTGCGGAGGAAACTCATTTGTCTCTTGTCTCGTTGATCTCGTCGTTTCGGTCGTGACTCAAAACTCCACATCGTCTTTTTCTTCTGTCGCTGAGTCACTGGAAACATTTACCCACAGAGACTCGATCCTGTTCAGAGACTCGATCCTGTTCAGAGACTCGATCATGTTCAGAGACTCGATCCTGCTCAGAGACTCGATCCTGTTCAGAGACTCGATCCTGTTCAGAGACTCGATCCTCCTCAGAGACTCGATCCTGTTCAGAGACTCGATCCTGCTCAGAGACTCGATCCTGCTCAGAGACTCGATCCTGCTCAGAGACTCGATCCTGCTCAGAGACTCGATCCTGCTCAGAGACTCGATCCTGCTCAGAGACTCGATCCTGCTCAGAGACTCTCAGAGACTCGATCCTGTTCAGAGACTCGATCCTGCTCAGAGACTCGATCCTGTTCAGAGACTCGATCCTGTTCAGACTCGATCCTGTTCAGAGACTCGATCCTGTTCAGAGACTCGATCCTGCTCAGAGACTCGATCCTGTTCAGAGACTCGATCCTGTCAGACTCGATCAGAGACTCGATCCTGTTCAGAGACTCGATCCTGTTCAGACTCGATCCTGTTCAGAGACTCGATCCTGCTCAGAGACTCGATCCTGTTCAGAGACTCGATCCTGCTCAGAGACTCGATCCTGTTCAGAGACTCGATCCTGTTCAGAGACTCGATCCTGTTCAGAGACTCGATCCTGCTCAGAGACTCGATCCTGTTCAGAGACTCGATCCTGTTCAGAGACTCGATCCCGCTCAGAGGTTCAGAAGTTTAAACGTGTGATAAAAGTGTCTGATCTCTAAACGAGTTTGTGCACGAGTCTGATTTAATGATCAGTAAAATGTAGAATGTTTGTGTGAAAATGTTGGACTTTTCTACAGACTCAGTGTCTGTCGTACATTTACTGCTGTTTATCTGGGACTGATTTTATATATTTATTTATATATTTATTTATCTAAACAATCTGTTTTTCCCCATTGTTCTCGTTCTCATTGTTCTTGAGACAAACGTTTCTAATTGAATTTTACGTTGAATTTGAATCGTTTTATTCGTTTTGTCGCCGACTTTAAACCCAGAAGTGAAATTTGTGTTTTTCTTGTGTTTGTTTGTATATTTATATTTTTGTTTACGTCTGTTCCATGTTGAGAGAAAATCAAACGGCTCTGGGACCTCGGCCGTCGGTTTGGGCTCCTCCAGGTCGTTCACTTTTACCCAACGGAAGCTCCGCCTCCGAGGAGCTCTCCGTCTCACCTGCCCCTGCACCTGCCCCTGCCTGCCTGCCCTGCACCTGCACCTGCACCTGCCCCTGCCCCTGCCCCATGATGGGCCCCGTCCCTCTACAAAAAACCCCAATCCCAGACCAGACCCAGACCCAAACCAGACCCAGACCCAGAACAAACTAAACCCAAATCCAAACCCAGACCCAAACTAGACCCAAATCCAAACCCAGACCCAGACCAGATCCAGACCCAGACCCAGCCCAGGTCCAGACCCAGACCAGGTCCAGACCCAGACCAAACCCAGCCCGTTAGTCTCTGGTCTTCAGATCAAGACTCGTGACTCGGTTTTGGATTCACGTCGTCGTTTTATTTCTCGTTTCAAATGTTCGTCTGTCGTTCGTGTTACATGAAGCTCCGTCGTAGTAAAAACATGAGTGAGTATAAAAACACGTGGGACACACCGAAACGTCGCCCTCGCATGGACACGCGCAGAATCACGCCCGCGCGCCAAAAACGCCAAAACGCCCAAACTCCAGACTCCAGACTCGCCGCCGTTTACGGGTCGGATCTGTGGCCTCGACTTTGTCCACACCAAACCAAACCCGGCACACGGCTCAAAAGTGGAATCTTTTTTTTTTTTCATTAAGTTTTTTTTTTTTTTTTTCTTCTTCTCTCTCGGGTCAAACGGCGGGACGTGGCTTTAAAGCTGCACTACAGAACTTTTCCAGAACACAGTGGATCCGTGGAGATGTTCTGCTCCGTCGTCGCGCCCGTCGATCTGCGTTACAGGTCAGATCTGTGGAGAGGCGAGTTTAAAGGTGCCATATTCTGCTTTTTCACTTGACAAACTTTACAGCTTAAAATAAAAATAAATGTACAAGTATCACAGAACTGAACCAGAACTAAACCGGGTCTAAACGAGAACTAAACCAGAACTAAACCAGGACTAAACAAGGTCTAAACGAGAACTAAACCAGGACTGAACGAGAACTAAACCGGGACTGAACCAGGACTAAATGAGAAGTAAACCGGGTTTAAACGAGAACTAAACCGGATCTGAACGAGAACTAAACCGGATCTGAACGAGAACTAAACCAGGACTAAACGAGAACTAAACTGGGACTGAACCAGGACTAAACGAGAACTAAACCCGGGTCTGAACAAGAAGTAAACCAGGACTAAACCAGAACTAAACCAGGACTAAACCAGGACTAAACCAGGTCTACGCCAGGACTAAACTCAATATTAGTTTTATAATCGATTAGATTCTGTTTTTTGATTCTTTTGACAAAACTAATATCGTCTGAAACACGTTCTCTGTTTAGTCCTGGTTTAGTCCTGGTTTAGTCCTGGTTTAGTCCTGGTTTAGTCCTGGTTTAGTTCTCTTAGTTTTAGAACTTTAGAAACGAGACTCAAAACTGTAAAAACCAAAACCTGCCGACGCTCGAACCAAACAAAACAGAAGCAGAACACACGACCTTTAACCTTCGTCAAACACAGCGAGGTTCTTTAAAAGTTCATCCCAACGTCGCCGTGACGACGCCGAGAAAAAAAAACAGCTTTGGTTCTCGAGCGCAAACATCATCGCGTCCCGGAATTCACCCTGTCTTAAGATTTAAAAAGCTCGCCGTGTAACTTTCCGGGTTGCTGTGCGTCCGTCACCGTTGGAGACACCTACGTGTGCAGAAAAGTTCCGCAATACGGCATTAAAACTTCTATAAGATTATATTTATTTATTCAGTTATGAGTGTTTATCGTAGCTCAAAAAAACCTTTAAAAACCTGCGCTCTGAGGGTTTTAATGCCACACTTCGGCACTCTGCAGGTAAAGCGACAACATCTCCATGGAAACGAGCGTCTGGCAGAGTCCCTCGACCGGAAAAGTCCCGCAGTGCACCTTTAGTCGGCTTTAAACACGATGATTTTGTTAGGCAACATTCTGAAACATCGTGTTTCATAATTCACCGTCTGAAGATTTAAAAAGCTCGCCGTGTAACTTTTCAGGTTGCTCGGGCGTCCGTCACCGTGGAGACGCTACTGCTTCGCCTGTAAATACTAAAAGTTCCGCAATACGGCATTAAAACTTATATAAGATTATATTTATTTATTCCGTTATGAGTGTTTTCGTAGCTAAAAAAAAACCTTTAAAAACCTGCGCTCTGACGGTTTAATGCCACACTCTGGAACACTGCGACAACATCGCCATGGAAACGAGCGTCTGGCAGAGTCCCTCGACCGGAAAAGTCCCGCAGTGCGCCTTTAGTTGGCTTTAAACCCGATGATTCTGAGGCGTTTTTTGTCGTTTTAGTTGATTTTTGTTTTTTTTGTTTTTTTACAGAGAGACTTTGACCGAGAGAAAAGCAGAGAGGTCAGAGGTCGTGATGCATTCAGGAGCGAAAACAAAAACGGGAAAATAAATACACGGGCGCACAACGCACACGCACAGAGGTTACACAACACACACACACAGAGGATACACAGCGCGCCGTCCAATACAATTCAATCAAATCTTATTCAAAACACGTTCAAAACTGTTCATCATCTTGGAGACGCTCGCGGGCGGCGGCGGCGGCGGCGGCGGCGGTCTCCTGGAGGTGATCGGGGGGGCGCCGCCGTTTCGCTCGTTTTAGTTCCGCGGGGACAGAACGTGAAGTCTTTAGTGATTGGTCAAGACTCTTCCTCCTCCTTCGTCGTGGTTATTGCCTCGTCGTCGCGTCGGGAAAAGTCCATCCGTGTTTCATACAAAAATCCATCGCGTTCGGGAAGTTCACCGTCTTTTTTTCCTCCTCCTCGGCTGAAGGGGGCGCTCAAGAGGAGGAGGAGGAGGAGGAGGAGCAGCAGAGGATCGCTCCCTGGGTCTCTGGAGACAGAGGAAGAGGAGGACGAAGGTGCTTGCTTCAACGCCGTGGGCCAAAGGAGCAGAGGAGGAGAAGAGGAGGAGAAGGAGGAGCAGATGATGCAGAGGAGGAGGAGGGGGCAAAGAAGATGGTTGCACCTCCAGGCAGCGGCGGGTTGGAGATGTGGAGGAAGAGAAGAAGAGGAGAAGAGGAGGAGGAGAAGAGGAGAGGACTGGGATGAGCTTTTGGGTCAGAGGAGCAGAGGAGGAGGTGCAGAGGAAGTGTTGTTCGCTCCAGAGCCCGGCTAAGTTTCCATGGAGACTGGAGCAGAAGATGAGGAGGAGGTGCAGATGAAGAGGAGGAGGAGGAGGGGCAGAGGATGAAGAGGAGGAGGAGGAGGTGCAGAGGATGAAGAGGAGGCGGCGTTAGCTCCAGAGGCCGGCGTAGTTGCCATGGAGACCGGAGCAGAGCGGACCCCCGGCCACGAAGAGCTTGGTGCCGGACTGGTCGTAGCAGTGGGTGTAGACGGCGTTGGGGAACGAGTGAATGTCCGAGAAGTAACTCCTCCACGTCTCGTCGTGATTCTACAGAGAAACGAAGAGAAAACAGAAAAATAACTCTGAGAAATCTGTGAATATTTGTCTTTATTTGAACATAAAATAAATGTTGTTAAACTCTGGAGTGAGTCGAGTTGTTCATAAATGTGTTGTGTGTTTTTATCATCAGAAAATGGATTAAAATCACCAAATGAAAATGTACGATTTACACTTTCTTCAGGTCGAACACAGACGCGACTCGACTGTTAAAAATACAACATCACTTCACAGACAGAAGAAACATGGATGAGGATGAAGACACGTGTCACCGCCCCGACGCAACTGAAGCTGTAAACGAGCAGCGACGACGGCGACCAGCAGGGGGCGTCACAACAGTTTAGTGTAAAAATAAACTCGTCTCGTCTTGACTCATTTCGGGTGTGTATAGTCTGTATAGGTGTGTGTGTGTAAGTACCAGCCAGCCCTTGCCCGTGGTGAGTTTGAGGACATATGTGTAGGTGTGTGTGTTGTGTGTGTATAGTGTGTGTGTATAGTGTGTATAGGTGTGTGTGTGTGTGTGTATAGTGGTATAGGTGTGTGTGTGTGTGTGTATAGTGTGTTATAGGTTGTGTGTGTGTGTGTATAGTGTGTGTATAGTGTGTGTGTGTGTGTATAGTGTGTATAGTGTGTATAGTGTGTGTGTGTGTGTGTATAGTGTGTATAGGTGTGTGTGTGTGTGTGTATAGGTGTGTGTGTGTGTGTGTGTGTGTATAGTGTGTATAGGTGTGTGTGTGTAAGTACCAGCCAGCCCTTGCCCGTGGTGAGTTTGAGGACGTGTGTGTGTTTAGTGTGTGTGTATAGTGTGTAGGTGTGTGTGTGTGTGTGTATAGTGTGTATAGTGTGTGTGTATGTGTGTGTGTGTGTTGTGTGTGTGTGTGTGTGTGTGTGTGTGTGTGTCAGTACCAGCCAGCCCTTGCCCGTGGTGAGTTTGAGGACATATGTGTAGTGTGTGTGTGTGTGTGTGTGTGTGTGTATAGTGTGTGTGTAGTGTGTGTATAGTGTGTGTGTGTGTGTATAGTGTGTGTGTGTGTGTATAGTGTGTGTGTGTGTGTATAGTGTGTGTGTGTGTGTGTGTGTGTATAGTGTGTGTGTATAGTGTGTATAGGTGTGTGTGTGTGTGTGTGTGTATAGTGTGTGTGTGTGTGTGTGTGTATAGTGTGTGTAGTGTGTGTGTGTGTGTATGTGTGTGTGTGTGTGTGTGTGTGTGTGTGTGTATGTGTGTGTGTGTGTGTGTGTGTGTTGTGTGTGTGTGTGTGTGTATAGGTGTGTATAGTGTGTGTGTGTGTGTGTGTATAGTGTGTGTATAGGTGTGTGTGTGTGTGTGTGTGTGTGTGTATAGGTGTGTGTGTGTGTGTGTGTGTGTGTATGTGTGTGTATAGTGTGTGTGTGTGTGTGTATGTGTGTATAGGTGTGTGTGTGTGTATAGTGTGTATAGTGTGTGTGTGTGTGTGTATAGTGTGTATAGTGTGTGTGTGTGTGTGTGTGTGTGTAGTGTGTGTGTGTGTGTGTGTGTGTGTGTATAGTGTGTATAGTGTGTGTGTGTGTGTGTATAGTGTGTATAGTGTGTGTGTGTGTGTATAGTGTGTATAGTGTGTGTGTGTGTGTAGTGTGTAGTGTGTATAGTGTGTGTGTGTATAGTGTGTATAGTGTGTGTGTGTGTGTGTATAGTGTGTGTGTATAGTGTGTGTGTGTGTGTAGGTGTGTGTAGTGGTGTGTTGTGTGTGTGTATAGTGTGTATAGTGTGTGTGTGTGTGTGTAGTGTGTATAGGTGTGTGTGTGTGTGTGTGTATAGTGTGTATAGGTGTGTGTGTGTATAGTGTGTATAGGTATGTGTGTATAGTGTGTATGTGTGTATAGTGTGTATAGTGTGTGTGTAGTGTGTGTGTGTGTAGTGTGTGTTGTGTGTGTGTGTGTATAGTGTGTGTGTGTATAGGTGTGTGTGTGTGTGTGTGTGTAGTGTGTGTATGTGTGTGTGTGTGTATAGGTGTGTGTGTGTGTGTGTATAGTGTGTGTATAGTGTGTGTGTGTGTGTATAGTGTGTATAGGTGTGTGTGTGTGTGTGTATAGTGTGTATAGGTGTGTGTGTGTAAGTACCAGCCAGCCCTTGCCCGTGGTGAGTTTGAGGACGTGTGTGTTTAGTGTGTGTGTTGTGTGTATATGTGTGTATAGTGTGTGTGTATAGTGTGTATAGGTGTGTGTGTGTGTGTGTGTGTATAGTGTGTATAGGTGTGTGTGTGTGTGTGTATAGTGTGTATAGGTGTGTGTGTAAGTACCAGCCAGCCCTTGCCCGTGGTGAGTTTGAGGACATATGTGTAGGTGTGTGTGTTGTGTGTGTGTGTATAGTGTGTGTGTATAGTGTGTATAGGTGTGTGTGTGTGTGTGTATAGTGTGTGTATAGGTGTGTGTGTGTGTATAGTGTGTATAGGTGTGTGTGTGTAAGTACCAGCCAGCCCTTGCCCGTGGTGAGTTTGAGGACGTGTGTGTTTAGTGTGTGTGTGTATAGTGTGTATAGGTGTGTGTGTGTGTGTGTATAGTGTGTATAGGTGTGTGTATGGGGTGTGTGTGTTGTGTGTGTGTGTGTGTGTGTGTGTGTAAGTACCAGCCAGCCCTTGCCCGTGGTGAGTTTGAGGACGTGTGTGTTTAGTGTGTGTGTATAGTGTGTATAG